ATGTCTGAGAGCCATGAGAAGGGCGTCGATGGAGGAAGTGATGGAATGGGCATGAAGGAGGAGGATGATGTCGAAGATGACGTGAACGTTGCACTGCATTCCGAAACCTCGGACCCAGAAGTCTTGGGTGACAGTAGACCGAAAAACGGACGAGAAGCTAAAAATCGTAGTGGCAGCAGGGAAGTGCCGGGACAAATTGCAGCGGAGGCTGAAAGTCTGTCCGTCGAGGCCTTCGGAGGGGATGTCCGAGCGATGCGACGTGCCCGACTAGAGTTGAAAAAAACAGAGATTGCCACCTTGTGCGAGGCCATCTGGGAAAACCCCGAGGGAGGGCTCTTAGGCCGGTCCGCCGGGGGCGGATGGAGGGGCAGGGGCAGCCGAATGGGGGCTTTGCTCGGCGCTCTGGAGGATCAGGACAAGCAAGTCCAAGTCTGGGCAATGGCCTCACTGGTGGCGGTCTTCAGAGACCTGGCCCCCGCCTACCGGATCCGCCTGCCCACGGAGAAAGAGTTGCAGGTGAAGGCGTCGAAGGAAGTCAAGCGCACGCAGGAGTACGAGCGGGTCTTGCTTGCCAGCTACCAAGCCTACCTCAAGTATTTGGAGCGGACGAGTCACGCAGGCCGCGCGTCGCCCTCTGGAAAGCCCCAGGTGTCCCCAGCGGGGAGGGAGGTCCGTCGGAGCGTGGCAGCCAAGTGTCTGTGCGAGCTTTTGACGGCGCTGTCTCACTTCAACTTCACGACGAGCGTGCTGACCGCCGTCATCCGCCTCGGCATGGGGCCCGATCCTCCTACCCGGACGATGGCAGGGGCGGCGGTGCGGCGCCTTTTGGAACGCGACCAGCAGGGAGACGTGTCTCTGTCCGCGACTAAGTTGATATGTAAGGAGATGCAACATCGACGGTTGCAGGCGCCGGAAGACATGCTGCGGGCCCTGCATGCGCTTAAACTGGTGGTGAAGGAAGACGAGGCCGTGGAAGTGCTACGAAAGGCGCGCGTGCATGCAACGAAGCGGAAGAGCCAGCAGCTGGAGGAGGAGGAGGAGGACGGAGAGAGTGAAGTGCGAACGGGGTTGAGGGAGGCGGAGGCGCGCGCAGACCCGGAATTGCGGGCACGGTGCCAGTCCGAGTCCTTGCAGGAGGTTACAATTTTGTACTTTCGCGTGCTGAAACAGGCCAGGAAGCCGACCTTGCTGCCCGCAGCGCTGGAGGGGTTGAGTCGCGTAGCCCATCTCATAAATTTGGACACCGTGGTGGACGTCTTGGAGGTGTTGAAAGACATGCTGGATCCGACCCGAAATTTGCCCCTGGGAGCGAGCCTGCACGCGGTACTCACGGCCCTACGCACGTTGCAAGGTCCGGGTCGAGAGCTCAGGGTCGACGATAAAGCCTTCTTGACTTTTTTGTACCAGCTGTTGGGCCGCGTCGGGATGGGCCTTGCCGCCGACAGCCACCAGGACGAGAAGAGGACTGATGCCCGTTCGGGCGTCACCATCTTCCCGCTGCTTGTTACGTGCCTACGGAAAGCCCTCTTGGAACGGCGAGAATTTTCACTGGCGCGTGTTGCTGCCTTTTACAAGCGCCTTCTGGGCCTCGCTTTGCAACTCACCTCCCCGCAGGAGTCACAGGTCGTGCTGGGGATCGTCAAGGAGCTACCGACTCGCTACCCGGGCCTGGAACAAATGCTCGACGGAGAGACCGACCGGGTTGCGATGGGCGTGTATCGGCCTGATGCCGTAGAGCCGGAAATGAGCAATCCGCTGGCTTCGGGTGCCTGGGAATTGTCGCTTCTCAAAGTTCATCATTTTCACGCGGGAGTGCGGAGGGCAGCAACAGAAGCGATCACGGCAGCAACGGCCGCGGCAGCCTCGACGCAGACTGCCACGCCATGGTCGTCCTCGTCATTTAGAGTTCGCGATTATTTTAACAAAGCTGGCAAAGGTTTGGAGAAAGAGGTGGCGATGGATGATCACTGGGACTTCTTGAAGCTCGGCTTCGGGGGAATGTTTACTCAACTGCCGCGGCTTAACCCGTTGCATGCCATGATACGTCGAGCTGCGAGAGAAAAGCGAGGGCAGCGCACCAGGCTTTACTTCATTGAGCGATACGGCAATGTAGGGGCAAGTGAGGGAGAAGGGAGGGATTACAAGTCGCAATTTTGGGGAGAAAGTACGCATTCGAGACAATCTCTGAACGAAGATTTGAAACGCACTGAAAACCTCTCTTTTCAAAAGTACTTCCGCGACACTCGGGCACACAAACGTAAGCTATCGTTGTGTCGGGAGTTACAACGCTCACGGGCAATTTTGAAGATGTATGCGTCTCGCCATTCCCAAGGGAAGCAAGCTGCCTTAAATTGAGGCAAAAGTAAACAACGAAAAACCAAACATTTTTTTCAAAAAAGCGGATTGCGTCTTTTTTTAAAACTATCATACATTTTTTTCCTTTATCAAAAACCACACCTTGACATCATTGCCTTGTGTGGCTGTATGTTGCTTCCTGTCTGAGGCGCCCCTGTGATCAATAACCAATCTTACATCGTCACGTTGATGGCCCTTTTACTGATTTCATCCGCCAACGTCTGTGCACATGTTCGCATCTTCTTCACACCATTATATCCCCCTCGTGTATGGTACTGTATCGGTGTGTCCGCCGACGTGCGAGCTCTTGCTCGTTTCGCCTTCCTCTCATGATGATTATCACTCCGATCAACGCTAATAAGACTGCAAACAAAGGACCCGCCACCTGTACAGTTTTTGCGGCGCTTGTGCTCCCAAGAACTTGCTTTTTGAAATCCTTGACGAAAGATGCAGGCATTTCGAAGCCTTCATCGTACCTAACCATCGGCAAGAAGAGCATGTGTTCATCCCCCTCCGCGGGCAGGCCAAAGTCCCATGTCACTTCCTCACGCACACATCGTGTTTCTGCCTCATTCAAGTCCCTCTGCAGGATGGTCGCCAACGACAAAGCTTCGATGCGAGACAAGGACGGGAATCGGAGTCGCTTCAAGCCCGCATTCAACTGGACACGCTTGTGGGTCCGAAACGTGACCCCGCTGCGCTCTTCCGCATCGATAAAGGTCAAGTGCGACTCTGGGTCTGGATCCAATCCTTCCACTGCCTGCTGCACGCTCGGGTCCGCCTCCAGGAAATGGGGCTTGCTCAAGAACAATGGAAAACCGCCCATGAGCGTCAAGTTTGACAACCCCGTCGGCAGATTGTCTTGGTACCAGTCTGCCGACATGACCGAGTCATTCCGAAAATCCTCCTGGCTGAAGACATAACGACGCAGCGAAACCCCGTGGAAATCATGCACCTCTCCCACGTACACCATCTCGATCCACCGTCGATAATCCTCCTGAAAAGTGACGACCGTCTCCTGGCCCGTTAAGGGGTGCGCGAACAAGCTCCCGTCCGTACCTCGAACCTCGTTGGCAGCCGCGCTTCCCCACTGCGGGAGGTACCCATGCCGAACGGCCGACCTGTTGGTCCAGTCCGCCTGATAGATGTCGCAGGCGGGCATCTCCCCCGGGGCCGGGGCGTCCCCCGTGGTCGGGTCCGGACATGCGTGGACCTGCGTCATGTTTTGGAACATCGTGTACCCCTGCAGACGTGCCTTGGTTTTCCCTTGCCCCGTGTAAACCACATTGGGGCCGATCCGACGGGCAGTCTCCGCCTCGGAAGTCAGGTTGGGCTGGAGTCCCGGGAAGGCTTCGGGGATGACCGGCAGAGACACCCTCTTGCCTACACGCTTGGCAAGCTCATCTATGGCCCCCACCAATGCCTGCATAGTCAACAGGACGCTGTCATTATGGTAGCCCCAATACAAATCTCGGGCGCTCTGGACCGTAAAGGGAGAGACGCCCATGGGGTTGCCTTGGCAGAGCACTAGCTTGTACACCGCCTTCCAGAGACCCGAGGCATCGATTTCGCGCTCAATCGCGCGCCGCAAAGGCGCCAGCCAACCGATAGCGGGGTGAATGATCTCTTTGAGCTGCGCGTTAAGGGTGTTCTGGAGTTGCCCTTGGAGGACCTGGATCACTGGATGCACCGTGGTCACGCGCACGTCGGTGTCGACCAAGCCAGTCGCCGCGTTGGCGTCTTCGTCGAAAACGTATGTCTTTTGCAAGACAAAGCTCACTGTCTCTCCGTCAGAAGCGAACGTCAAGTTCAATTTGTGCCGGTGTTGTCGATACACGAAAGGGCCTACTTCCTCCAGGCGCGCAAGCGCTGTGCCCTCCAACAGCTCGGTCGGGTTCGTGAGGTTGAGGTAGTGCAAGCTGTAGTAGATTTCAACACCCAAGTTTTCTCCACTGTCCACGAAGGTCTTGTAGGCTTTTCCCGAAGCACCTTTCAGAACCGTCTGCGCATCAATCCCCTGGGCGACTAGACGATCCACTATCAATGGGCCACAGGCTGTGAGCACCCCGAGGACTACAGCGACGCTTATCAAAAGCACTCCCCAGCGATCGCTGGCCCGACGAATGCACCAAACGCGAGGTCCACCCCAGACACCACACATTGGACGACGGACGCAAAAGGAGGCACGCTCCGGGCTGCCAAAAAATGAGTCACCGTCATCTAAAGCATCCTTGAAGGAAGAATACTCAACCCTTTTTGCTTCCGCGTGGGCATTATCTTCGTCGTACCGGCCCATCACCTGACTTGCCTCCCTTTGGGTTTCGCTCTCTTCCTCAAGTGACGGTGTGACCACGGCAACGGCGGCCAAGGAGGAGGAAGGGGGATACACAAGGAGAGGAAGATTTAAGGTTGAAGCAAAAGACCAGATTTGCGCGCCACTTCCGTCGCCGGCACCGTCTATGGGCAGAGGAGATGGTGACTGTGGCCGACGGTGCTGTCGATGTTCACTGTCTTCTGCCACAATGAAGCTTCCTGCTGCCTTGCAGTGCTCCGGTTTTCTTGTTTGGAGGGGAGAGTTGATGATTGATTATCACGGTAAAGAAAATGCAGATGACGTTCAAGCTACAGCAGTCTCCGTTAACAAAACCTCCAAATTTTGCGGACCTCATCATCAAAACTTTGGCCTCCCTAAGAGCTGATGGTACGCTTCAGAACAGGAGCCATGTTTAAATCGGGCACTCGAATATGGCGAAGGTGGAAGCTTCGTTCCTCCGGGTAGCCTGCTGTCGTGGGTGACCGACGCCTGCAGCCAATTGTCTTGTCCGTGTTGATGCAAATGCGCCTTCCATAAGACGATGAAAAGATTCAGTCATACAACAGATATTTTACCGGTCGATTGTTTAAAGGGACTCGGTGGGGATGATTTGCGCATTGTGAGTCATAGCTACATTACCAGAGGCCTCGAGAGAGACGGGAGGCCTTCCATATTTAGAGCCAGTGCGCCACGGCTTTGTGCTGGTAGAATTGAAATTATTGTTGGACTGTTAGTATTCACTACTTGCGACATTGATATGCAAGAAAAAATAATTTTAAAGTAAATAACATGCCTGAAAAAGCACTTACCAAAGGATACTGAGTATGCTTTCGTTGAAGCAGTTTGATTGTGTGCCTTACCGATTTTATAAAAAAAACTTTCAATCACTATTTCAATACTCAGACTTTGGTTACTTAGAAATTGCCTTGAGCACTCCTCCCCACCAGCGGTGTGCCAACGGCCTTCTGCCCTTGCTCTTGCGTTTTTTCACGTGAGGGAAAAAATATCGAAGCGGTGGACTTTCAACTTCATCGCCCGCGTCATCCACGCATTCAATCTCGAAATCTACAAAATACCGCCGTAGCGGCATCCCTTGTATATTTGTACCTTCAACTCCTTTTCTTACTATTGCCCTATTCTCGCTCTTCATGGCGGCTTCAACGAGCTCTGTCATGGATTTACCTAGTATTGGATTGTCGTCGCCGGGGTGCATGAAATCCGCATACAAAATGTGCGAGCCATGCAAAGTCACGGATGTTATTTGCAGGCCAAAATTCTCTGAGGCGTGTGCTAGTAGAGATTTGAGAGTCATATCTTTTTTCGGCGTTACTTCCAGACGATCCCACATATTGTACACCTCTCCTTGCTCGCCTAAAGCAATCGGATGAGCTTCCATTGGCTGCGTCAGCGCAAAAAATGGCCCTGCCAGATTAATGAAGGCGTTCCGATATGCACTAAGAGGGGGATAATGTCGTCGATGTCGCCGTCGCTGCTTTAACAATCCCTCTTCTTTGTTTTGAGATTCCAAGTCCGAATACTCCTCCTCTTCTTCTAGCAAGCTTCGCTGAGCGAGCTTACACAGTTCCAGGCTCGCCAATCCGGCAACTACCGCCGTCGTCGTCGCAATCGCAGGAATGATACGCCCAGCTATTTTCTTCGTCTGCAAGCGATCCGCACGTGCCAAGCCATAATTTGCAGCGCGAAGATTGCTCGCACTCGTAATGAAGGCGATGTGTCCGTTCCAGTCCTGATCCTTTTCAAACATTTCCGGCCTGGTCCGCGCCGCTGTGCATTCCGTCCCTTTGCCGTTGTCTCCCCCCCGTTTGGCGATGCGTTTGATGGTCAGCCGCACTTCCTCAAACTCGCGCTGCACCTTGGCCTCCAGGTCCCCTTCTTCCTCTTCCTCCGCCCGTACCACCTCGGTGGGGGCCTGGTACCCCGAGGCAAGAATCTCATCTAGCGTGGCTTGCACAGTTTCACTCATGCCCTCCACAGTCGTGGTCGGATCCACCACGTTAAAGACGCGCGCCTTGAGCAAGGCGGCGGACAGGAGGAAGTCCATGTGCAAGGGATCACTCCGGTCGAAAACGATCGGGGTTGGGATCCGCCGGTCGCCCGACCAGAAAGGCTCTCCGTCCTCCGTGACACTGTCGCGGGGATGTTCGCGCAACAGGGCTTCGATGTTGCTCTGATACAATTCGTGGAACCGGTCCAAGGCCCACTTCACGCAGCGGCGAGCAGAAGGCACGGGGTCCCATATCTCCAGATCGACAAGATAGCCCTCTAGCTCCCGCAGCAAGGTTTCATCGCTGGTTTGCGCCCGCAAGCTCGCCAACACAGCTGCAGCGGCGGCATCGTCCTCCTCTCCTCTGTGGCTGCTTTCGCTCAGACGCGCCGTCAGGTCGTTCAAGCGCTCGGGTTGAATGCGAAAGTAGCCGTCGAAGAAATCACGCGCCCATTGAATGCAGTGCTCGATCATGTAAGGGAAGCTCTTCAGGGTGCAGACCGGGATACTGGCCTCGGGCGGGTCCACGCTGGAGCCGTAGGATTCTGTGACAAAGGGCACCACGACCTGCACATTCCCGCTGGTACCCTCCGTCCCACTCTCCAGCAACGGCCGTCGGTAGTAGACGCAGCGACCATCCACATACTTGCGGGCGGCGACATTGTCCAGCGCGTTTGCCACCACGTCATGCCCGAACCAGAAATTGTCGTCGAAGAATTCCTCCGTCTCTTTTCCCACCTTCCTCACCAACGCTCGGACTTCCACGTCTGGGTTCAGGCGTTGCACGGCTTGTGCTGCTGCCTCAGATTTCGGTGCCCCCAGGTCTCTCTCACGGAACAGAAATTGTCGATTCAGGTTCGACTTCTCGATCGAGTCGTTGTCGGTCACCGTCAGAGGCCCCACGCCCATGAGAGCCAGGTTTTTGAGCAGTTCGCAGCCAATCGCCCCCGCGCCCACCACGAAGATAGCCTGGTCTTGGAGCAATTTCATCAAGCGAGACCCGAGCACAGCTCGCATGCCATCATACTTGTCCCCGCGACTAGCGCACTCCTTTTCCGAGGGGAGACTCGCCGAGAAAGCCTCGGGCGATTCATCTTCCCCGCTCTCCGGGGTCAAAACCTCCACCGCGTCGAAAAAGAGGTATTGCTGGAGGGGTACGAAAGTGCCCGTGCAGGCCTTCAGCACTTCCTGGGCTGCCGTGCCCCCGACAAAGGAGCAAATCGGCGCCAGCGAACCTTGACAGGTGCGGGCAAAGATCTCCATAATCTGCTCGTCCAAGACGGGTGGGCTTGGTGCCCTGGTCTTGGAGGTGGGCCGTTTCGCGGCAGACCTGGCGGCAATTGCGGCAGAGTGGCTGCTGATGACGTCGCTCAGAACATCGCAGCTTTTGACCAGTTTTTTGAAGGCCGCAGCATCCGTGGCGCTCCCGGGGATGGGTAGTCTTCCCCCTGCATGTGTCTTGAATCTTTTTAAGCTCTCGAAGCAGGCATGGAGGGTTAATTGTCGCCCTAGGCTGGCTTTGCCAAAATCGGTGGGCACCGACCGCATCGCCTGCCGTGCCAAGGTCAAAGGCTGGAATCCGAGCTGCAGTGGCTGCTTGAGCTGCCGGAAACGGCCGTTGGAGTACTGGTGGACTTGTTTGACAAGGTTGGCACTAGCAGGGACGGTGAAACATGAGGGCGAGACGATGCGTTTAACGGTAAAGGTGTCCGTCTCCAGGTCGGGGTCCGCGCTGCCGGCTCGGACTGCGTCCTTTGTCTGACCGTCTTCCTCGGTAGCCGTGCGCTCGAAATAGACGAGGTCCCCTTTGCTTAGATCGTGCCGCTCTCCTTCCCGCAATGTCACCAGGGTCTCGCCTGTCGTAGGCAGGGGATCGAAGGATTTGAGCAGGCCCGTCTTAGCCTCCTTTCCGTCCGTGTCGTTGACGGTGAAGTCGTCGCCCATGTCGCAGAAGATGGACCCAAAGAGACCAGGTGCCTGCGCGGCCACAA